GGGGGGTGGTCAGGACTGCTGCCTGTCACTTCTTTCCCTTTCGTCCTTGCACTATCAAAAGTAAACCCCATTTTAGTTACACTGCTGTTTTATAATTTGCCTGATGCAGCTTCTCTCTTAGGAGCAGCAGCGTTTTGTGCTCGAGTGCTAAAGTTGATGTGGAATAACTGAGTGCATGAATCACTTCCTCTATTAATGGATTTCTTGATTTAGTCACACCAGGTAGTGGAAATGGTTTGTTTAAGGATTGCTCCAGAGAGACAAAATGCGTGCAGAGCAATTTATTCACCACAGATACACTTGTGGGAAGTCAAAGGGATGACTGATTTCAGCAATTGTTTTGTTTGTGCCCTGTAAGTTGGTATGGATTGTTTTAACTAAGCACATTAAAAACTTCCATGAAGAAAAAAAAAGAGACAACCACAACTAACTTACTTAAATATCAGAAGATGAATTCAGCAAACATAAAACTTTACAACAGTGTTTCTATGTAAACAAAACTGCCAAGAGTTATAGTGTAAGAGTTCTTTATACTCTCTGGCTTTAACAGACAAGTAAAAAGACATGTCCTGACTGTATGGAAAAATGGATTTTGAATTCAAAATTTTGAAATGTTAATTATATTTATCAATGCATTGTTTTGAGTTTGGTCAGTTTTGGGTGTTAAAACACCTTGTGCTGAAAAGAAACAACCAGAAAAGTTCAAACGTTTTTTCCTCTAAATCCAGGAGAGGTAAAAATTCTGCATTTTCTAAAAAGTAAAGTAGTGTATGATAAATATATTATACAATGGCATGTACTTTGGAACATGGTAATAAATATTCTTTCTTTAAACACAAGCCTGGAAAACTAGAATTTGTAAGAAGAAAATGTTGTTCCTTGTCCAAGTATCACTACCAGTTAGGTGTATTTAGCTATTTTACATTATTTTGTTAAAGTAGATAAACCATAAATAATTCAAGCGTTTTGTGTATATTCACGGAAGTTAAACAGATAAGCCAAGGAAGTTACAGTATATTTAAATCTCTTTACAATCACTTAACACAGTGTTTAACAGAAATCTTCAGGTAAAAGTGCATTATGTTAATATAATACACATAAAAACCCACTCTGGTTCTCTGCCTTCAGTTTCCCTAGAGACGACTGGCTAAAATTAGCTTTTGTTTAAAAAGGAGAGGGTGACGACACGTTTGTTTACAACATAGAGTCCAAGAAAACTTCTTCATCCGCCTATCGAGAAACTGCAGATGTGAAGATACGGGAAGAGGAGAATCTTCCAACAGCTGACAGGCATCTTTCCAATCTATGACATCCCACTTAGGATTCCCAGATTCTGAATGTTAATCCAGCAGTGTTGCTTGGATTAAGCATCTGTATAGCACAGGGCACACAATTGCTGACCGGTTCAGACCGCAGCAGGTTCCTTCAAAGGCACTGCAGAAGGATTCAGTGATGTAAATTCCAGTTTTAAAAAAAAAAAAATCAAAGACCAAATGCTGAAGAAGAGGGAATGTGACTGGGATCTTTCCATAATATACTTTGCTTTTCTTGAATTCAGATTGTTTTGATGATTTAAGAGTTTTTATAGTAGCCTAGAAATAAGGTATCAATTTTTTTCGTTCATACTTGAAATTTCATTTTGCAAATTAAAATATTATTTGAATTCTTTTATTTAATGATTTAGCAGTAGTATGTCAATGCATGTCACATAGTGCTTTAATAATTGGGTGTACGTGGAAAGAAAAATGTAATCTTAAATTGGCTGCATGTGAGATGGGATTATCAGCTGAAAGAGACTTCACTTACAAAGAGCTGTAACTTCTCACTTGGTACCTTGATGCTGTAGTAGCACTACACCGATAGCTGGTTAGTGTACGGCAGTGGGCAGCTTACATGTACTGTCTTCATATAAACAGGACAGTCTTATGTTGTGTATTTCATTTGTTGTTTTTAAGTCAAGCAAGATGGTAGATATTGAAGAGATATAGAAACGATAGCAAAAATGTTTAAACATTTCTAGCAAAATTTCCAGAGAGAAATTAACACTATAAACTTGTTTCAGCTAAACCCAAGATCATCAATCCTGATGATTTTATTATATGCGTATAATAAAAAAATAACACAACCTCTACCGGATACTTCTGTTCCTTTGGCCCAGAGCAAAAGAGTAACAGGGCATTGTTAACTGACCACAGTGAGTTGACTAAAACACATACTATAAAATCAACCAGGATGCAATATTTTGGTTTTGTTTTTCAAAGGGGCAGAGAAAGTGAGTGAAAAAGTCCAGTCTTCACACCATTCTGCTTTACTGTAGCAAATGCTGTAATAAATAACTGGAGACCTTACTGATCTTATTCTGCCTATGCACACCAACGTCAAAGGCTTTTATGGACCTTTCTGTCAGTTCCTTGTACCTCACAATGGTTTAACCAACTGTAACTTTGAAAAAAATACTCTGTAATACAATCATGTATGAAATGATTGCTCAGAGCCAGAATCAGTATCTCATACCTGAACAGACCGCACTGTAGGCAGTGGTGGTGGTTATTCCACAATGTCACTGAAAGTCAGACTGCACGCAGCCCTTTCATCCTTGCTCTGTGGACTGTCTGGCAAGACCTGCAGAGGTGGCGATATGAATCCCCGATACTGCTTACTCGACTTGGTTAACTTCTTGAGTTCACTGGTAAAGGAAATGCCTTTTCTTTTGTCATCTCTTGCTGCCTGTATAAAAAAAATAAGTAAGTCAGATCACAGAAGTGTATTAATAGGCTGTTTGTTAGCTGTGAAATAAGGAATTAATATGAAAACACCTAACATGCTTCTAAAGCAGGCCTCCTTTTTGGAATTCAGTGCTGTGCTGTCATAGCCAAGCAGATTCTTCTGATTGTTCTGAATAGATTAATTGAAAATTATGCATTGTCGAAGATATGTTTAGCAAATTTGGTATAAACTTGTATAAAAATCTGTGCTTATGACACAGTTACTTGAAAGCAACAACTGCTGTGGATTGGTAGCATCTGCTGGAAGGAAGAACACAGCTCCTTCTCCCAGCAGGCACGTGCTTCATTCCTGCAATTTTCCAAAGCCCAAGATAAAGCAACAGAACAACTTTTTCACTCACTAGGTAGGAATAAAGGGGACTTTATTCCAGTAGTTTTCAAGTTTTGCCTGTTTGAGTAATCCTGCTTTACTGTGGTGGGGAGCACGGCATGCACAGCCACCAGATTTTGAAAAACAGAAAGCTGGTAGCAGAAGATAAAGGTTGTCACAGAATTTGCAGGCTTGGAGGGAATCGTGGTGCTGGATGTAACTGATGCAGTTTTGCAAAGGAAAAACGTAATGGAGGTGCAGAGAAAAGAGGAATCTGGTTTTTGCTGTGGTGTCTTCTCCCCACCCAGTCTCATGCTGGTTGTGTCTCCCTCCCATTGAAAGTAGGTTGCCATTAAACTGATCATATACCGTCTATAAAACCTCCTGCAAAGTATTTAAGCTTTTACCTGAACCTGTTCTTTGAGTTTAAGGATAAATTTCCCTGCTCCCTTCCACTTGCTTTGGGCCTGAAACACACACTCTTGATCAGAGAGAATCCTCTGAGATGGTTTAGATGTCGAGGACTTTTTGTTTGCTGGCTCTTTTGTCACCTCTTCCAAGAGGACATAATCACTTGGATTTGGATTGCTCAAAATGCTGTAGGAGTATTTAGCTTTGCAAAGAGTCTGTTTAAAAGCAGAAAAAAGACAAAAAAGAAGGCATTCCCTCAGATTCAGGTTACTGAAGTGATTCCTCAGATAGTGCTGAGAACAAACCCCACCTTATCTTGGGTGAAACCAACCTCCACCCTACGTGTTACAGACCTACGAAATGGAAACATGCTGCTTACCTGCTGTATGACATCCTGAGCTGTGCTAAAGCGGGGAGCTTTGATGACGGTCCGTGGTTGCTCTGGGGAGACATCATGGACCTGAACAAAGAAACTGTCATCCTCAGAGCTGATGGCTGCATCTTCTTTTGCTTCCTGAAAGACGTTTCTCTCATTTAAATTCTACAGAAAAAAGGAGGGGCAAATTTATTTCCTTCAGAGAGGTAACTAATAGCTGATGGTCACAAAAGGTTTTTATTACATGAAAATTTGAGACGCTGCTGTTGCCTCAGCTCCGTGTCATTAAATGCAAGTCCTATATAAGAGTTTTGACAAGCCGCTATTGCTAACAATAAATACTTGTTTCTAAAAATCTTTCTGAAATAGCTTGGGAGACATATGCATAGTTCCACATTACACAAAAATGATAACTTAAATCCTTTGTTTCCTCATGTATGCAAAATTATGTTTGGTCATGTAATGGTGGCATTAAGATGGGAGATGGTGGAAGGTGTCCTTTTCTCTCCTTGTCCCTCCACTGAAGCCAGAAGAATTTAGAGAGCAAGAAGTCTGAGTGAACATTTTCCTGTGGAGCATAAGGAAGGCTCCTTCTCTGTCCTTTTTCAGGCTCTATGACTACTGCAGATTTTAGTTCTAATTTAATGCAAATATAGATTTTGATGTCTATCAGTCAAAACAGTAAATTAGTGGCATTGGACTGTTGACTAAGCGAGGATTAAACAGCACATAGCTGATACTAGAGCTGAGTGAAGTCAAGTTACTCTCACACAGGTGTATCAAGTCTAGTTGTGCTCACTCGAATTATGTTTGTTTTTAAATGACACACACAGCATTGACATTACTCACCAAGTAATGAAACAAATACTGCATCCTTTTGTTTCCCGGTCCTAACAGATATTTTTAGCTACCTTTGTGAGTAACAGTTTATCTAAAACAGACTTACTTCCTCTCGGGTTTTAAAGATAATCCTTCCAACATATCCTTCTTCTGGGAACCAACTGTTCAAAAGCTGCACTAGCCCTTCTTCAGGACCAATCACTCTCTGGAATGGTGGTTTTCTGCATTCACTCTTTTCTTTAGATATAAAACTTTTCTCTTCCATCAGAAAATAGTCTGCAGCACATGACTCGGTGCCTTTTGTGGTAGCCAAGAGCTAAGATAGACCACAATAAACACTCAGCAATTAGGATGCTAAATATAAACACTGTATAATTAGTAGTTATAAATGAGAACGAATAAGGAAGCTTTAAGAATCAATAACTACTCTGATAGTGCAGGCGAGATTTCTGATGTGCTATATTCAGATCTTGTACTCCAGGGTAATGTACTGTTCTCTTTAGCCTAGCCAAGCAGTTCAGCTATTCCAGACAAGGCAGTACTATTTAAGCTTATTTCTGTCCTGTTTGGCTGGCCAGACAATTTATTCATAATCCCAGGACAGTACAGTCTTTTCCCACTGCTAGAATAACAATCCCTGTTGAGTTAACTGGTTTTTCTACTCATGAACTTAGCCCTCTAACTTTTACTCTGTATTCCTATGGTGCTTGAGTTCAAAGAATTGCGCAGAGATGTTTGCCCTTGTTGTAAGGACAGCCCACTGCCTCTGTTGGTCAGAAAGATTGTTTTTCTCATCTGCATATGGCCAAATATTAAAATACTAATAGGGAATATGTTCTAAGATTATAAAACTATTCTCTGAAACCAAGACTGGGAAAATTTCACTAATGATATTCTGTGCTTGCAATGTAATTAATTCCACAGTAATACATTTCTAAAGCACCTCCTTGCTGTGATGAATGAACTACAATGACCCTACCTGTGAGAAATGAAGGGAGATGAATGTCCAGAATGATGTTAGTGTGGATTCTTCCAATGACAGTCTGCAATTCAGCGGGCAGCTTACCTGATGGAGAAGCTGTGCAGCCGTGGTCCCCGCACTTATATTAAAAACTGTGAAAGGCTCCGGGCCTGGAATTCCATGAATTGTCACTTTGTAAGTCACAGCAGCTTTCCTTTCTCCCATGCTAAACAACTGTTCAGACAACATTCAACAGGTTAGTGCATTTCTATTTTTATTTTTTACACAGGCATGTTATTTTTAGGTTCCTTAAAAGAAACTGTACACACAAGTTGTAAGGACCTCGACATAGCAAAGCTATCCAGCTCATACATGGCTCTTACACTACAGATCGAGGCATTAAAAAAACGCCCCCAACAAACCAACCCCCCAAAAGACCCCACCCCATCATACCTTGAAGCTGAAGAGAAAGAAGAAAAAGGCAGTTTTCCAGTGAGAGTACTACCACTGGACAAAGGGTAGACCTCCATCACTCATTATCCATTCTAGCTGAGCTCAGACTATTCAGCGTACAAATTACCAGATGAAAATCTATAGCTTCGTTTTACCCTCAAAACCATTTATGTTCTTCCTTTCTGCCCTAGTAATTCACCAAGATACATGTTCAGCATGTTTTCACAGGAGGATAACATCTGCAACATATCTGCTGCACAGTAGCTCTGGAGGTTTTATCTAACACTTTAGGAATCAGCAAAGTGATAATATAAATGCTTAGAGTTACTAAAACACAAGTAACCCAGGTAACCTAACATTAAGGGCTATTTAATAAAAATTTAAAAAATCACATCGATCCATGCATACATACATATATATTTTTAGATATATTATTATACACAATTGTATGTGCACGTATGCATATTTTTATATATAAACATAGAGATGTGCACACACACATATATAAATAGTTATATATTTATGGCAATACAGACTCCATCTTTTCCTGTAACAGAATTCAATTTTACTCTCATTATCTCGAAGTTGTTGATAATTTGCATCGTTCTTTTTTTTTTGTCCCAAATGCATTGCTTATGATTCATGCATAAAGGAACGCATGAGGCAGCTCTGAACTTTATTGTTCAACCACACTCCTCCTCCAGCACAGGAGTTCTTGTGCTATATACCCAAATATACCAGAAGCCAGACTTTGAAAAGATTTACCCTCCCACAGTGTCAGCCATGTGGGATAATCCTACTACCACTGAAGCCCAAAAGAATTAGGCATCAAGGTATCTCTGAAAAATGTGCAGGTTTAGGGGGCTAACATCTTTGAACAGTCTGGTTCTAGAAGTCTTCAGACCATAGCAGTCATTAAGACAAGAATACATGGCATTCACAAAAAAATAAATTACCATAGACGCAGGTGGAGTGTTTCCAGAGGGACTTTCTTCCATTCTCCGACTGTTTATGAACAAACTAGAAATTTCTAATGCTTCATTGTGCAAGTTACGGAGCTGGACATGTCTATAGCCTAAAGAGAAAAAACCCTTCAGTAAGTACTTTGCCACATCCTAGGGCACAAGTCTCATAAATGGAATGGAAACTCAAATTTATAGCTACATATACTATCTTTATAGCTACACTTCACCACAACTATAGGATTTAAAGCACTGTAATAACACTGCATTAACACTCTTTGTCTGGACAACAGTATAACCCAAATGCTATGAACTGCTGAGTGGCTCATGTAGCTGCCTACCTTTGTTCTGCTGTAATAATCAATATATTCATACAGGAAATAGCTAAATATTAGACTATGAATGAAACACAGACAAATTCCCACTGGGGAAATCCATGTCCATGGCCAGATCTCTTCAAATGCCAAGACAGTTGTGTGGTATTACAGCAGCACGAAGTGAACGTGAAAGTATTTTTACCATTCTGCTGAAGAGCTGCTGGCAATATGGAAACTCCCTCCTGCAGGTGTCACAGAATTAACGATGCTTCCTCCCCCACACTCTCTCACCTTTTTTCACCCTTCCTTCACCTCCCTTCCAGCCACTGCAAGAAGTGCAGTTCCCCTCTGCCCAGCATCACCAGTTAGAGCAGTTTCTTGGGCAGAGGACAAGGCAGGGAGTGAAACCACTCCAAGCTTCCTAAGGAAGCAGCAAGTCTCAAGGCGAACACCACCTCACAACCACAGCTCAGGATCAGAGCAACTGCGTGCTACATGCCCCAGTCTATGCAACAGCACAGGATCTGACTTTTTACAAGTCACTGGGGCAGCCTCCAGGTCCCAAGAAGTCTACTGGATCAGCACCGTACTGCCAGGGCAAAGTATGTTGTCTGATATTTGCTCCCTGTCTCCTCTAGAAAAAAATACAAGCTGATTAAAAATATCCCTCCGGCAGGACTGAGTCCAGGAATCTGCTGGACCACTTTGGCATAGGGTGTCACTACAAACTGTACTGTACCTCTTTTTAAAGCTTTCAGGGGAATGATTCTCTGAGCTGTTACAGCTGAGCTGTTATTTTCAACAACTGCGAACCGAAGAAAGACCAAATCTTCGAAGTGAACCCGGAAAAGGAACTGTTCATTCCACATGGGGTTCAGAGTGTTGCGATGGATGGGCTTCGTCCGGAAATGGCAGCTATCCAGAGGCATCCCCAGCACATCGATCTCAATGCACGGACTGCCCGTGCTATTGCTAGGGCAGACGTTCTGTCCAGACACAATCTGAAGCCGAGGAGTACACAAAGAAACCAATTAGTGGAGTGATTATTTTACTGTCACAATTCTGAGCTAAATATCGTTTAGCACACTCCTAAGCACAGTTTGTTAATATGCTGACTTAATTACAATGCTCCCCTACTTCTGTAATTGCCAGGGCAGTAATTTCAGAAGCAGAGCTGCTTCAACCCCCTTGATGCCGTTGCTATGGTATCTTTCCTCTGAAAAAAATACACTATACATCATGAGTGTAACCATTCGAGGCATCTGAAAGTTAATCCAGAAAGAATGTACCAGTAACATAGTCAAAAAGGATCAAATTTTCTTCTCCATCACTCTGGGGCGATGGCACCGACCTCTGGCTTGCTTTGGCATACACAACACAAGAATTAGGTGTGCAATTACCACAGCTGGGAGGCTTTCAATTCTTACGGATCTCGCTTTTCGGAAACATTTCCTGGAAGGGACTAGCTTCTTAGAATACATTTTTTTTGGCCATAAATCCATGAATTATATATCTTATTATTTAACTTAAAAAAAAAAAAAAGATTCAGTACAGCTTTTCATAATGGCTTTTTCTGTATCTTCTGGAGCGTTCACAAATGTGTGAAACCTCCAGGCACATGTATAATTTTACACAGTTGTGTAGTCCCAGGGAAAATGCTTTCAGGATTGGATTTCGACAAATATTGTGAAGGAAACAGTGAAAGTAACTATGGATACAAACCAGCCAATAAAATAAAATAAAGACAATTATTTGCTCCCTCCTTCTCCAATTTCTTTTAGTTACGCTTGACCTTCAGAAGTACAAGCAACAATTAAAGTTTCAATCTTTTCATACAGAAGCATGACTGTAATGCTGGTTAAAGACTGTAGTTAAAAGTTGTCTTCTATCTGTTTTGCTGTATGAAATACTCTTTTAATGTACTTACTGTTAAGGAATATATAGCTGGCTCCTTATTATCAAGATCTCTTTCTAATGGACAAAACTGCTGGTACATTGAACAATTTTTATCCCACAGAACAGGAGGTTTCAAAACATATCCGCAGCCGCCATTAGCCTCAAACATCGCTGCATTAAGCTGCAGAGGAAGATCTGTGAAAGCAAGGCAGCCAAAACTGACCAAGAGCAATGCTACAATGGAAAAACTGTAACGGTGAAGACGACATGTTTTAAGTATTATTTTTTTTCATTTTAGTTGTGTACTATCAATTCATTCTTGCTTTTCAGAGATAGCTATAATTTATGCATCCAATCTATCCAATACTTAATTATACAAAACTGTAAGAGCAGTTCATTCTTTTCTATCCCTTTCCATTGTCTTTATCCAACTGTAGGGTTTGCCTACACTTACTCTCTGAGGAGTTTCTAGGTATTTGCCCTGAACTGCAGAATGAAAAAGCATTTACTGAGTAGCTTTGTAGATGACCTAATGGATCCCCCACCAAAAAGCTGAAGGAACACAAGACAGGATAGAAAATGGCCAGAAAACGTTCTGATCAACATTAAACCAGCATTGAAGGCAGCACCTCTAAGTTAAAAATAGTTCAGTACCTTTTTATACTTGGAAATTATCAGAAAGGGGTAATAGCTACTTGAATGGGGAAAAAAAAAAACCAACCTCCAGCAATAAAATAAAAATTGAAGGTGTTGCTGTCCAGGAACTTCTGTGCTATCAAGAGATCTGCTGCCTTGGCATAAAGCTCCTGAACTCTGGGATCACTACTCTGAAGGACCAGATTGTCATGGTACGAACCCGCTTGTGCTGGGGCGCACACAGACAGGTACATCCCCTCACGATAGCAGGTAAAAGCAAATGTCAACTACAAATTCACAGTTTAAGGACTTATTTCACATTTAAAATGTATTAAAATGTGCGTTCGTGTACCCATACCATCTGTTTGGTAGTTAAGAGCCACGAGTTGTACACCATGGAGCCAGAAGATCAGTGGATGGGGGTTTGAGGAGTCGATGCGCGTGGCAGCGGGGTAAGTCCTCAGGAGTTGACAGGTGGTGTGCTGGATCAGCTTCTGAGAGTACCGCCTGCACAGCCGCTTGGCAGCGTTCTCGTTCAGTGAGGAGATATGATAGCACTTGGGTGTCCTTATGATAGCACTGAGAGAAGCTGGAGAGTTGTAAGGAGAGCAGGGATCTTCCCAGGTCTGCCGCATGACATCAAAAGGACCTGGAAAATAAATAGTACCCTAAAGTTACAGTTGCAGATCCAGAGAATCCAAAAATTCAATGTTCTCTAGTAAAGTATGGGTGCATACTTTGGTTATGGTAGAAAAAGGTGATCCTGGAAAATGACACTACTCAGTGTGTCGCATTCCTTCTTATACAGAAAGAACAATCCATGAGAGGAAACATAATGTCTGAAATGATACTGTGATTAGATGTGCTAACAATGATTTTCATAAATATATACTTAATTGGCCTGAATAAAATAAAGGAATAAAATTCCATTCTTCTCATTTATACATTTTTTCAAGGAAGGGAGGCAAGGTTGAAACCATCTGCTAAGTCTCCAAACAGGCAGTCTACAGAGGCTGTTAAGAGTTAGGCGACAAAGCCAGAAAAATACTTATATCCTTTAGAATTAGGCACTACACTTTTTCATTTTTAGGACACTGGCCTCTAGTAGGGAATCTAACCTGTCTGCTGCAGCCGTGCCCTTGGACTGAAGGAAGTGCAATGTTCCTTGAGCTAGAAAATGAGTACAAGAAAAGGTACAACTCTAATTTTCCGTTTATGACATTCACCAGAAAGGCAAGGGATCTGGGTCTCATCCTTGCTCAAGAACTTTTTCTGTACTTTCTTTGCATTTCTTTACATCTGTTCATGCACAGAAGTACAACTTCCAAATTCATGAACTGAATCACCTGTGGAGTCTAAATACCTCCAAGGGGGAACACGGGAGTTTGCATGATTACATTACTTGGCTGAATTTTAGGCAACTAAGTCCTACTTCAGACACTAAAAATCCTTTTCTGGATCCAGTCCTACAGTTCTGCCTTTCATTTGTATTTTGAAAAATACTCATTCATATATTTTAGAATACAAACTTTAAGATACATCACTTAAAATGTATGTTAGTTTTGAATAATTTATGAATTAGGGTTTTCATATTTCTGACCAAGTAATCCTATTTTAACATTCCACACTCAACACTTCAGTTATGATAGTGTTACTGTAATAGCTGTGCTAACAAAGAACCATTCCAGAATTCAACATCTTACACATTGTAAAGTATTTGATCTTTTAACAACTTGGTCTGGTACATGTGTTGGATTACAGTCATTCCACGTGACTGGTGAAAGAAGATGCTAACTTTACCTTTTCCAGATGCTTTGGCAAGAGCAGCTGACTCCCCAGGGCTCAGTCTGCCAGGATTGTTGCCAAAAATGGACTTCCTGCTTTTTCTTTCTTTTCCTCTGCTAGAGCCAGATGGGTTTAGAGTTGACAAGCCTGTTCCCATAAATGTAAAATAAATGAGCCAAAAAACATGACCAAGAGGGCATGACATTTTCCATCATATTTTACATTATTTTTGAAGGCATGAACGCTCCTGTTATATAGTACACAGGGCAAGCTGTGTTTTTTCTCTCCATAATTTTAACATCTTTACACGCCTTTATATATGCATATGTTATGTATGTTTATATATATAAGGTATACAAAAATTTATATGAAGAAATACATTATACAGTTATCTCTCTGTAATGTAACTTTTCTCCATTTTATTTTTTGGCTTGAGGAAGGTAGTGGCTCTGTCTCAAATTACAAACGATCCTAATCGATACTAAAAAAAAAATCTGCAGTAAGAGTCCCAGTGTATTCACCCTTAAAATAACTATTAAAAAAAAATAATCCTTACTACAGAAGTAATAAATCTGTTCAGTAGTGAATATAATGGTATTAATCTAGGACAGGATACCTACATAATTAAGTAAATACAATAATATGATTTAAAGATATAATGTAAAGGAAAAAGCCCAAACGCTGTTGGTTAAACAGTTTAACCTCAATATATTTTCAGAGTTATCTTCTTGTTTAGAATTTGTATTTCAACGATGGGAAATATGGTAGATGTGCAAAATCCATTAAGCATTTAACGGACAATATATACTAGAAGTGGAGCTGGAAAGCTCTAGTATAGCTATTATTCAAATACATGCATTCTAGCAAAATAATCAGTAAAATCATGACCTAAATCCCAGTGAAGTAAACAGACTTAATCTCCCTTAAGGTCAGTTTCTTTCTGTTGACTTGGAGAGAGCGCACGGCAGACCAAAATTCAAGTCAAAATACACAACAGTTACTCTTACACCCGCAGCCGTGAGGTGTGGGATGCTCTCAGAGACCCAAGACGTACTTGTGATTTAAAACATAACAAAGCAAGTACCCTGTCATTTGCCTAACTGTGACTCATGAAACGACCCTCATGAATGACTATCAATTCACATGTGCCTAAAGACGGGTCTGGATTTAATACTAGTATTTCAACTACAAATGTAAATCAAAAAGAGGATATATTGGACTCTCTTCTACTGAAGTCTGTCCACAGCTGTAAATTTTCAGCTCTCAATCTTTACGGCATGCCTGCATGTACTTAATAAAATTATGCTGATAGTCTCAATGGAATTGCTTGGGTTTGTAAAATTTAGAAGATATGTAAATGTTTTCCAACATAAATGTAGGAGATGTACTGTCTCTTTGGGCCAAAGCATACACATAAACCGCAGAAGATGGTAGAAGTTGAGATTAAAGAACATGAACTGACTGGAAGAATGAGGAGTTATGCACTGTGTGATTCCAGCACTATTTAATCCCAGTTTTCAATGGATCAAATGGATTTGGCAAGCAAGATCCAGGTTTCAAAATCCTGTTGTGGAGACAGTCACTGAGGAAACAGACTAACCTCAAAAAACACCAGAGAGTACAATGCAAATCATCAGAGTTAACTGAACACAATGTGATGGCCACAGGGCAAATTGCAGCTGGGAGTTTTCTTTCAGTCTTTCCCATGGCCCTGCTTTGCACGTGGTACACCTCCTCACAAAGGAAAGCTCCACTTCTGACTCCCATTTAAACTTGACTCCAAAATACAGCATCACCTGCTCATAGAACCATAAATTCATTAAATGATGGAGATTGGCAAGGATCTAGAAGTCATTTGGTCCAACTCTCTGGCCAAACCAGGACCAGCTTAGATCCCACCATACTGCACATAGATCCTATCATGCTACTGCAATGACAGAGTATATGTTTTTGTATTTCCCTAAATATCCTTTGAGTTACAGAATTTAGTACCCATCTCTTGTGTTAGATATAACCACACTACTTTACTGCTTTTAGATTTTTGATGCAGAGGATGGCAAACTTCCCTGCCCTCCTTCTTCTAACCATGCTAAAGTAACAGGTTAAACTGTAATTGTCACCTTCTCACCAAGTGTTTCAGACCAACAGCCAGTTAGTCTTCGGGTTTGCAGACCTTGAAAAAGAATGTACAGTACTTTTCTATGCAGAGTGTCCTTTTTACATTCACTTTAATTTCTTGAAAAGTGACACAACAGGGGCAGATAGTCTGATACAATGGAGATGGTGACCGAGTTTCATGCTGGTTAGCCCAGGTGACTCTCTGCTCTCTGCACTTGATTGTGCAGATCCTGTTTTTGCGTACTCGACTTTCTTTTCTCATTGCATAAGGATTCTCAGCACCAAGGCAATGAGCCATGTGCCAGTTGGTTATAGCAGTACTGTGCTCAAGTATGCTTCACTGCCCTCATCTCAGGTGACCCAAAAGAACAGACCTTCACCCTCTTAGATGATATCCATCAGACTGAAACTGAAGTTAAGCAAGGACTGTAAGGGTCAAAAACCACTGAAACAACAAGAACTGTGGTGAGTTCCTTGTTACCAGAGATTTTATAAACAAGAAATGTTATTTTCTCCACGTGATAAATTCTGTTTTGACCAGGGAGTACTTAGGGAAGTCTATGTTACTCAGTAGGCTGGGGTAAGTGAACATAATAGTCTCTGTTCTTTTTATAGACACAAATCAGTGATTAACATTCAGGGACACAGGCAACTGTAAATGCAGAACAGAAATACATGAAGACAAGAGAAATAAAATATTTTCACCCTCCCTATTTCCAAAACTCTTGCATTTTCTGAGTTGGTTGGTAACCTGGTCAATAGAGCTACATAGTCATGATCTATCAGCCTTGTTCTCATTATTAAGGGACATGGGGTATGGCAGCGCACCATGTCTGTGCCCTCCAGCTGAGCAGAGGAATCCAATCAATAGCATGGTGGCCAGGGTAGTCTACATATCTTGCAGAGAAGGCAGTATTTATCTCAAGGAAGACAAAGTTTGTTCAAAAACTAATTTCCACAGCTTCATGTGTTCATCTGTGAAAGGAAATAATTTTCTTACTTGTTCTGTTCATGTCCCCTTTAAAGCAAGAGGAAGAAATCTGATAAGGAAAGCAGATATTTCTTTTATAACTGAAATCACATTAAAAAACTGAAATATTTTAAAGTTTTCTTAGAACACTGGGACGACTTTGTGTGTCAAAACGCTTGGAACAAATTAAACTCTCTCTGTTTCATCTTCAATATCATTCTTTTAAAAAATATTTTATTTGAAAGATATCTCATTGCAGATTTAATTAAAAAGAGTATCAGATTTGAATTTTTAGAAGTTATTATTTTTACAAGTGACACCTGCAATTCTTGAAGTTATAGAAGATTATAAAAGAATGTCTCTCCATTTTTCACCATGTTTATCTTGCCTATTTGACACTATTTTATGTTTGGTTAACTTCTCTAATCTGATTATAGTTCTATTTGCATAAGATCATGATTTGGCAGAAGTGCTAACTTTTCCACAGAGAACCACTCCATTTAAAAGCAGATTTTTCATTCAAAACATTAAACACACCAATAAACAATAAATTCTCAATTTAAAAGTAATTATGTACACAGGATGAGCCAAAACATACTCAACCTCACGTTTCAGTACTGAACAAGTAACTACCAGTGATCTTCTCTTCAGTGATTCCCTCCTTTTCCTCTGCAAACATTATTCTTCCTACTGTACAAAAGAAGACTCTCCTATTTCCTTAAACCTTCCATAAAGAGTGTGTGTGAGTGTGTAATCAGCTGTCCTCACCCACCCCAAGAAAAGGCTGCTTTACCCCCCAAATGGCTCCCCTCCTATCCACCTAGGAAAGAACAGAAGATGCAGCTGTAGGCAAAGGTGAAACACACTAAACTGAAGTCACTTAAAGAAACGTGATAAGCTCTTCCTGCGAGGTTTTAAGACTATTTTCCTTCCTAATTCAGTAGGTCCTTACATGGAAACTCTGAGCTCTTGAGATACAGCTTTCTGTCATCTGTCATTTGGCAATGAAGCAGTTGTCTAAGTTGTGAAGACTGGCAAATTTCACTTTTGTAAATGTTTTAATATGACAAACATGATGTCTTCACATAATTTATGAATATCACTTCTCAGCCAGGAGCTATTATTACGTAGACTTCCCATCAAGAAAAAAGCTCCTCGACGACTTCAATTTGAAAATGCTTGTACTAACTAATTCAAAACATAAACATAATGTCTCCAAGACGTAGAAAGCTGAAAGGAATAAAACAGGGCAGTGTACTTACCAGGGAACTTGACAGCTTGACAGTAAATGACAAGATCTGATAGCTCTGGGGCTATCTGTCTGCTTTCCTTCTTATTTTGTGGAAGATAGAATTCTTCACCCAGCTCCATGTCGTAAACCTAAGTGACAATTCCAAGAACATATAACAATAAAATTACTGAATGTGAAAGTACTCTTGCATGTCTTAATTATGTCCTTAAAATCCTTTATCTCATTCTTCCTGCATGGTTTAATGTCATCACCTAACACATGTCTGTGTGAAGGTTTATGAGTCACTACCTGTTACTAATACTGTGGTACTGTGCAAAGGCCTCAATCAGAGTCAGTTCTACAAACATTTAGACAAAAAGCATCCACGTTCAGGAGAAACTACAATTTACTAAACAGCAATGCACTGGTTCAGTTGTCAGATGATTTAAGAAAAGGTAGTGTGGCTATCTGATATCACAGTGTGGTATTTCAAAGTTATTTAGATACACAAAGATGCTGAAAATTCAGATAAAATCTTCAGTTCCATTAATGTTACCGGAAATTAGATATCTAAATAAACTTCTGGATCTAGCTTTAATGAGGTCTTTCATTGAGAGCAATGACAGTTAAAATTTTCAGCCAAACAGCCTGTATATACAATAACCTCTGAGGACTTTTCTTGAACAGTTTGTTGAACATTTGTTCTATTCAATCTGTTTTCTCTGGTGTGCTTCCATGCTTTCTACTATTTGTCTCCATTAAAGTGCATTTGCCATCTGATGTATCAAAGTGTGGCTGAGAAGAAAAGGGGGAAAAAGTGGAACTACCTTTCCTTTATTATTGTAAGTAGCACAATCAGCCTTCTTTATTCGTTTGGCAGTCTCTTCAATATATTCAAACTGCAGCTTATCACTTGATAATTTATTCTCAGGTCGGTCTTCAAGAATGTTATCTAAAAATTAATGGGATTTTAATAAACATAAAGCCAAAATTTCAACTGGAAATTTAGTTTGAATTAACAACATCTGTGGACAATTCTGTGAATCTTATCTGAATAACCAGATGCCAAAATAATGCATTTACTGGTCAAAGCATTCTGTTTTAGTAGTAAATTCCAACTTCAAAAATTTAATGCTCAGCTTCGGTTAATATGTTGCACTTTTTTTAAAGCCCATCCTTTTGTGCTCGGAAGATGCTTAAAACAAAATCAACTAATGAATTAAGCTTTGCATCTGAAAAAAACCTGATATTCCTGAACAACAAAGAATTGCTGAAGTCCAAACACAATTAACCGCATTAAACGTACACCTCTCTGTACAGCAAGTTTTTCCTCTTTCCTCTCCTTACATTCACTAGTATTTTTTACGTCTACAGAAGTTCCTCTTCAAAGCTACATATTTATCAGAGAATAACACACCTACTAATTTAGTCTTTCTGGTCCAAAATATCGTAACTGTCACAAAAGGAATGGTTTTATTTCATTCCTGATATTTGTGATGCTTTGACCATATTATTTTTATGCATAACCAGTGTCACACATGCAGCCTTCTAACAGTTCCTGACGAGTTCACAATGCCATATAAAAATATCTGATTGGATTTTTAACATGAAGTAGAAACCATATTCACACTGTCGCATTTAACAGGCTGGAGATGCAGTGCTGATTTCATGCAGTTAAAATGCTCAACCAAATGGCCTTTACCTTCCTGGCTGTTAGGAGCAGGAGAAGTATTAAGGACATCGGCTACAGGGAAACGGAGTCAGAGAGGGAATAAGAGTAAAGGAAATTAAGATTTACAGCCAGAGAAATGAAAATAAGTGTCAGTTGTAAAACTATTAGCCTTATGCAAACCTAATGTATCAGTAAGGAAAATAAAACTGAGTATCTTTTAGAAAGTTTACAGACCATTATTTAGATTAGTTTTGCCAAAATATTAACGTAATTAAAGATCTCAAAGAATAATCATTGTAATAAAGCAGTAAACCATGCCACAGATTCCTTCATATATTGGAAGGTGTGAATGTTTCTTGCTAGCTTCAGATATCTCAAACCTTCTCTTAACTACAACATTGCTCAAAAATCACGTACTGCCGTTAGCTTGCAATATTTTCCCAGTAAGTGTGTTAACAAAGATCAAAGTTTTCCACAGCAGTTTACAGCTGCATTGTCTCCACCCTGTCGCATACAAGGAGTACTCTCAAGGAGCCAGTTAGGTCAACTTTCTAGCAAAATGCAGCTGAAGGCACCACCAGCACCAAATTCATAAATTTCCATATTAGTATAAATAATACTGCTATCTCACAAGCAGTGTCAGGTCCTGAACTGCATTCATTAATTTCATGACTATTTTTTAAATCACTAACACAGAAGCAAGTAATGTAAATAAGACACCAACTGGAAGCAAGTCCTGTGCTGCAGGGCATGCTCGAGCCTTACATCTTCTCTGAACATGGTACTTAGAACTTAAACAGGTACCTACTAGACTTAATTAGATTTAAAGGTTCAATGAGTGAAGTACTTTACTGTTTACCTAGGAGGACATGCCCAGCTGCATCAGACCAATGGCCCACCTAGTTCGGCACTTTCTTTCTGAGAGAGGCAATGGGAGATGCTGTTTAAAGAGAGGATCCAGCCACTAGTCGTGGTCCACTTCCCTTGTACCATCCCAACACCCAAAACTGCTGACTATTAGGGATGTTGGACCATACATTTCTACCTATAACATTTGCTTATAAACCTATAATTTTATAGGTTTACTCAGCCACCTCAGTCTGGTACATTCTGTTCTTCATCTGGAGTTTAATCAAACGTGTCTGAATCGGTGAGCTAAGGAAGTAGTGGGAGTTACTAACTGCAGTGGTTTTTATCACCTCTGGCATGCCAATCATTATATCCAACTCACAAACTGCCCCTAAAGGTGGATTTATGCTAAACTGCCAGCTCCTGAAGGCTAAAGTAGCTGAAGCATAGACAGCACATGAACTTCCAAAGGCAAGCCAGTAAGGCATGCCTTGCCATTTTTTCACTGAGCAGCTAAAACTTTAATAAAGCCATTTTTATTAAACAAGCCAGGGACTCAGTGGCTTCTCTATCTTTATGCATGAAGCTAATAGCTGATGCTGAAAGTGTAACTAAAATAGGTACCTCAGGGATTTCTGGGATTAGACAGTAATGAAAGAGGACTTTGAAGAATCTGCATCTTAGGTCAATTTAATGGCAGTCATGCAGATGCATGGGCTAAGCCTGTTGTGAACCTTGAGCCTTCAAGTGTCTAAACTCCTTAGGAAAGACAATACAGGCAAAGGTAGACAGAGTACACTATGAACACAATCAGTTTGGCATAATATAAACAATATAAAATACATATAAAGACTGCAGTTTAGCATACACTGCAGAGTTAAAACATCTAATGGTTGGAGTTAAAAGTCAGACTCAAGTTCTCTACACAGTCAAGTCATTTTCACAGTGTTACAGACTACTGCACCAAAGCGCCACCGAGGACATTTAGTACACCTTCACAAGGTAAGATCAACTTAACACATCATTCCTGAACTAGAATATTTAAATGCCTTATTGCTATAGTTCTAACAGCAGCACTGTAATAAATAAATAAATAAATAAATATATATTGTTACCATCAGAGAGAGATTCATAGTCATAGTCATATTCATCCTCTTCATCTTCTTCCTCTTCATTGGCAGGCGTGGGGTTGCTAGCACCATTGCTAGCCTGTGCTTGCATATGTGCCAGCTGGTGAGCCTACAGCAACAGAACCACTTGTTACATTATTGGTAAGTACTTTTAAAAAGCAAAACAGTTTTCATCACTCTTTGCTTCTTATTTTACTTATATGAAAGCACTGAGTAGATATGAGAAGTAAGAAAGATTGTTAAGATCAAACTAAAATCTCATGTTAAGGTTTGAATATAAAGAAAACTTGTATCAGAAAAACACTCTATAAGATAAGAAACCTGATTAATTATGGGACAATGTCCACTTTGCACATTATTCAGAGCAAGACTGCCTTTTTCCTGTCTGAGGTATGCTGTTTTGGAAACAGTTTAAAAGTTTTTTTAAAGATTAAATGATCAGTGTGATATACTTATTCTGATACAAGAATTCAATTCTAATTCAATTCTGTTCACATTTTTGTTAAAAGTAATTAGTTTTCAAGGATTCAATCTAATTGCTGACTAACTATAGACACGGTTAAATTGCAGCTACCAGAGATGCAGCCCTAATTCTTTAGAAATCAAAAAACTCTCATATAGGTGTAAGCACTACTTGAATAGCAGTCTCCCCAAAAAGGGACTAAGAGAGTATTTGCCTGGCTTGAATAGAAAAAAAAAGAAACAGCAGAATTCTACATATATTCTACAGATTATACATACTGTATATATACACACAAACTCAATGCCTATCACTATTTCTCAACAAACATGAATAGCAAGCGTTATAGCCTCAGAGTGAAACTTCATTTATATTTATCACATAGGGCATGTGGTGCTAATCGTAATATTATAAAACTAATACTCTACAATTTTGTTATACTGTATCTATACTTTCTTATATGTCTCGTCTACTTATTTGAAGGTGTTGCAATCCATTGTGAGTCTTCCAAGCAAGAACATGCATTAGATTATTCTGCTGTACACATTGGAATGGCAAAAACTTCAAACACAAATGAGTTATTTCTAACAAATGTTAAGTCTCACTGCTTGCTATTCAGGAAGGACTTTACCTTTTGTTTCAATATATCCACTGGTGTTTGATGGGCTTTAAGCTTCTTGTTTTTAAGCAGGATTTTTCTTTTCAGTTGGCCAGGTGAAGGAAGCATGGGATCATCAGAAAAGTCACTCTCAAATAAAAACTTTGTTACCAGCTTATCTCCAAATACATTCTGAAATATCAAGAATATGCAATATATTATGGAAAATCGCAAGGTACATGCTTAGAATAATTTACCACAATTGATAGCTTACCTTGAAAATTTCAGCCATCTTACGTTGTTGAGGCAATGAACAGTGGTTTTCTATTGATATGATAATTGGCATGTCAGATGTGATAAACGCATTTCGATCAATAGCTTCAACTACCTCCTGTTGAGAAAGAAAGGCCATTGAAAGAACACGTGATTATTTTGCAGCATTCAGTGAACTTACTGTTAGTTGAAAGCAGAGAAAGGAAGGCATCTGTTTTTTCCCCTCTAGGAAGAAAGAATCCACAATTTGCTTTCAAAACAAGCTCCTACAGATCAACCTACCATCTTGTTACAACAGAACTGGTAACAGCTACTTGGGTTGACAATAAAAAGACAGAAAATTATAGTACATATGCTACCAAAACAAATTTGAAAATCATAATGTTTACAATTGAGCAGCTCATGTCTAACTTAGTACATAGTTCATATTCTGTAAGAATTTAGTCCATTGGGATTTACACTTTTCTAGTAGGCTAATTTTTCCTTCATTAGAGAGAAAGCTACCAATTTTCTTTTCACTTTTTGTTTCTGTGTGCAATTAACAGCATACCTTAAAAGAGATCTTAGTAGTAAGAGTGTGCCCGTGATAAATGATAGGCATCCCCTCATCTCCATCCCAGCAGTCTAATTCCACACTTCTGCAGCCTTGCAAAAGAACCTACAACGCAGTTGAACAGTGTAAGCACATATAAGCCACAGTCTCACGCCATCAAAGCAGAAGACAGTGCAGAGCGAAACGAAAGCCCAGAGATTCAGCAAAAGTGCTGGAATGAGCAATCGCTGTGGAGCAAACACAGCCCACAGAAACTACAGTCCCCAGCTAACTGCATTCCCTAGGTCGGGAA